AGGTTTCCACTTGAGCCATGATAAACTGATTATGAAAATCCTGAGTCTCAAACACTCTTGCTGGGCTGAAGCTCTTGTAGGCACTAGCTGACATTGGGAGACAAGTTTGCACATTTCTATTTGAGGCCAACCTAGACCAGCTCTAGTTCAGTCCCAACAGGTGGGCCCTAGAACTAATCTCCTCTCTATACTTAGACCTCCTGTAGAATCAAGACTTGTTTGGATCTGTCATTGACAGCAGGGTTCAGACAAGGTAATGCTTTCTAATGTACAATGTTAATGTGAGAATGCCAGTGGTAGTAGCGTTAGACTGTAAAATGGCCATGCCCGGGCTCTGGCTTGTCCTTGACCAGTTGTAATTGTGGAATCTCAGACAAGGATTTTACCTCCTGGCCTTAGTTTCCTCACTGATAAATATCTGTTTTGAGGGGAAGATGGAGTAAGTAGAAGGAGACAGATCAGGCCTGTCTTGGTTGTTGTATTCTTTCTGATGGGACAAGGAGAAGGCCATGTCCCTGTGGTATCAGACTCATAGCACATAATCACTGTTTTTATCATTTCTTTATTCCAAACCATGCAATTGATGTCTAAAATATGGACAGATTTTTGGCCAAATGGAATAAGACAATATGCCGATGAAAGGAAGCAGAATCCTTTAGCCTGGGTAGTTTTTATAACCAAGAATTTTATGGGTGGGAATTTCTGCTTTAGAATCATCTGAGGACCTTCTCATAGTATGCCCGTGTACTTTTTGATTCACTGGATACATAGCTATGGATATGGATCTTGCCTACACCTGGGTGCCCACAGTATCTCAGGATTTTGCTTCCCACAACCGGGCTTTTTCTCAGCACTGCTCTTTTAGGTAGGTGTGTGCTGGAGCCACTTAGCAGACCAGTGCCCTGCTCTGAGCAGTATGCTCAGTTGTGGAAACTGTGTGTGACTTCCTCAAGATAATGGGTATAAATCCAGCTAGAGATGCTCTCAAAACAGAAGGAGGACTCAGATTAGATTCTGGCCATCAGATGACAACAACAAGGAAAAGCAGATGAAGGGGTTCTCTGTGCTTTACAGCAGCAGTTCTCAAACTGGAGTGGCCATCAGAATCACCTGGAGGGCTTATAAACACACACACTGTTAGGCCCCACACCTAAAGTTTTAGATTTGGTAGGCCTTGGGGTAGGCCTGAGAATTTGCATTTCTCACAATTTCTTAGCCCGATGTTAACTGCTGCTAATCCTCATTTTGAGAGCCAGTGTGCTACAGCTTCTTTCTTTCTGTTTGACCCTCACTACCAAAAGATTAGGGTGGGATTACATGGTGATGGCCAGTACATGTGACAGAGAACACTGTTGCTTTCCGACGGTCAATGAGGCCCAGGCCAGATTGTACCTACTCACCACAAGCACTAATGCCATTCATGGAAGTAAAGTAGATTTTTAACCACCTACCCATTCCTGAGGTTGTGTCTCATTTCAAGTTAGGTCATCTGGTTCAGTGGCTTCCAAAAGCCAGTTAAAGAACCAGTGTTAGGCTGATTGCATAAGCAAACCCAAGGAACTTGTTAATAATACAAATACGTGGTCCCTGCCCTGGGATATTTTGATTCAGTAAGTCTGGGATGAGGCCTAAGGACCTGTGTTTTTAACAGTCTCCCCTGATCATTTAATCCACTTCAAATTCTTCTGTCCACAGACCTTGAGTATTCCTTTCCATGATCATGCACAATATGTTCTACTAATGCACATCTATTTTGAGTATCTTTGCCCAAAATTTAGACTGTGCTCTTGGTCAAGGGATTAGCAGAGGCAAGCAGAATTTTTTTGCTTGGCTTTTCATCATCAGAGGTGGCAATGCTGGTGGAATGGCCTGCAGTTCAGCCCCTCAGAAAGACGGTTATGGGCACTGAGCTCTTCCACTGTTCCTGGCATGGTTAGAAGCATCTGTGTGCACCTGGGCAACCTACCTAGCCACTGTAGAGGATCAGTCTCCCTTTAGGGGCTGTAATGAGTACAGTATCCCCAGTGTGGGGATTGTCAAAAGAGGGAAGGACCCGTGAATCAGCTCATTGATAAGTTCAGTCATTCACTCACCCAGCAGACAACCACTGGGTATCTGCCTTGGGTCAGGCATAGAGGTATGCTCTCAGGATAAAAGCAAGAAACAGTTTCTGCCCTCAAGGATTTTGCAATTTCTAACCCTAACTTCCGATGCTGAGGCTTAATGCTATTATCTCCTATGCTTCCTTTGGCACATGCATTTGTTCTGGTATACACACTTTTCAGCACATAAACCCACTTGGAACATGTGTGAAGGATTGCCAACTATCTTACATACACACACACAGCCTTACAGCAAGAAAACAATATCTACTTCAAGAATTACTAACTCTAGCATTATCTGTAAAATCTTATTTTAAGCTGCAGATCACATAGTTGCCTTTCAAAAATTTTCTTTATGTGCTGTTAGTTCTCTATGCTGGAGTTTGTTCACAGTCTGATGGAGGAAAAAACAATGTATTTATTATTGTATTTGAAAGAGGAAAATTGCTCTTTTTATAGAGGTATACACTAATATTAATTTTAAAATGTTGTGTCTAGTATCTAGTTATTAATGCACAACTAGACGCATTTTTATTTATAATTACTGTTACACTGCATCTAAATTCAAATATTTTACAACATTTATATACCATGGACTGCTTTATATTAAAATTCATGTAATGTGCCTGCCTTTTCCAGTTTGTCAGTCATCAAAGGATGCTCAATCTAGCTATATTTTTTCTTGAGCTAAATGTAGTGAATCATATAATTTGAAGGTGTTACCAGCCCTCTTTGCTTTTAAGCAAGAGAAAATGTACTGTGGAAATGCTGTCTCTCATTTTTAAGGTCATTGATTGGGTTAAAAAGGCAAATGCCTCTTTTCATTGAACTTCCTTCAATTAAGCCATTAACCTTTTAAAATAAATGTATTCAAAAATCTATCAAAAAAACTGAATGAGATTTTAACAAAATCCTGACAATTTCAGCTTAAACATATACACAGAAACCATATGTGCTTAGGAAGAAATATATACACACAGGCATTGTTTACAGAGTGTGTTTTTATATTTGGAAGACATTGAAGGAAGAGTTATTTCATACATACATTATCTGAAATGTACATTCAGATAGCCCACATAGATTTTACATTGAGACAAAGATATCTTTATCCATCGTAGGTAGACAGACAGACTGACTGACTTCAAACTTACACTTGCAGTGTGGATTTTTTTTCCTCTTCTCCGGGTACTGCTTTTCAAAATCGCCTCGGGCTACAGAACAGCACCTCAGATCCCCAAGGCCCACTGCCTGGCTCCTAATAGCCACTCTCCATCTGTGTCACATGAACAGCTGATGAGATCGCTCCAGTGTCTGTATTTTGGAGAGCACATCCACCCAGGTTAAAATGCTGGGGTTGCCAAGGAGCAGTCAGAAGCCATTAGTGTGGGTGAGAATTTGCCTTGCAGCAGTTCCTTGGCATAGTGGAAAGCATGTGCACGTGTCCCCACACAAGCTTAGGGGTGTGTGTGTGTGTGTGTGTGTGTGTGTCCTGATTCAGGTGACCCACTGGTATACCTAGGTGTGCAGGGAGGGTAGACAGAAGAAGACTAGACTCCACGTATCCAGAATTCAAAAAGTCAAATGCCTTTTGTTTCCCTGTGCATGGATTCTTTCCTTGACTGTTTGGGGGTCTCTCTCTCTCTCTCTCTCTCTCTTTAATCATAACAGAAGGCGAAGAAAAAGAGAACAGCAACTTGGGGGTCATGCTCTAGTGTTTGGGCAGATGGAAGGGAGCTGCTTTGCCTTGGGGCAGGGTGGTTGTAATGAAGTGGCCTGTCAGTCTGTAAATAGTGAGGGTCATCTCTTCCATGTGATGGAGGGTATCGCATTGCAGTGAAAATGGAAATGTCAATAAAATTAATCTGCCAGCTCTTTGCTGTGGCTTTTCTGCTTCTCTGGCCAAAGAAGGTTGTGGTTGTTTTTTTCTGTTTTTTTTTTTTTTTTTTTTTTTTTTTTTTTTTACTATAGATTCGTAGTATAATTTGATGTCAGGCAGTGTGATGCCTCTGGCTTTATTTTTTGCTGGGATTGCTTTGGCTATTTGGGATCTTTTGTTGTTCCATATGAATGTTAGTAAGAAAGTAGGGGTCCTGCAATGCCTTGCCAGAAGAGTTTTTCAGATACATAATTTAGATGCCCTCCAGGCAGGCTTTCAAGGCATTTTTGCTGGAGGGCAAGAAAAAATAACTATGACTGTTAAAAGTAAATGATTTTTGCTAATGCACAATTAATGCCAGAGAAAAGCACAGAAGAGAAAGATGTTGATAGAAACTTCTGATTAAGTGAGCACCCTACCTTGATGTGCATCTTTTTTTTATGCTAATGATCAGGGGTGCAGAGTGCTAAAAGTTTTCATGTCATGCAAATACCGAGTGCAGGGTCATATGAGGAGTGTGTGAATGTGCATGCTTAGGAGGTGACAGTTCTAAGAGGGGCTGAGCAGGCAGTGCGTTATGTGCAATGAACAGTGACACAGTTACTGTCACCTATGCAGGCAGCCTAGAATATATAGACTACAGAACATTTAACTTGATTACCCTACAGTATGTGTTCACTATGGGCATGGGGATGCATTTTCACTGAATGGGTTTCCTGATGGCGGTTTTCCCACATTGGATTCCATAATTGACAAAGAGCTACTGCACTGTGTCAGGCACACAATTATAATTGAATTAATGATATGGGCAAATGTGAGACACACAAAATTAACATTTGAAGAGGCCTGGTTTAATTTTGTCTTTTACATATTTGTGTCTCCAATTATACTTTAATGAAAGAGAATATACCCGCTTAATGGATTTCTTTCAACAAGCTTAGCTGAGCTCGTCATTAGCTACACATTGTTATTGGCACCCTTGCTATGTTTTTCTTTAATGCCTTTTTATTTCTTTCTACTAGGGGATGGTTTAGACAACAGTGTAGCTTCACCTGGTACAGGTGACGATGATGATCCAGACAAGGACAAAAAACGCCAGAAGAAGAGAGGCATTTTTCCCAAAGTAGCAACAAATATCATGAGAGCGTGGCTCTTCCAGCATCTCACAGTAAGTCAAGATGAAAGAGGAAAAAATAAAAGTTGTGTTTTGCTGAGTTCTCCTAGCAAGTTATACGGCCACATAGAGATGTTTTTAAAAATAAGGTGCCTGTTTTCTCTTTCTTGAAATCTCATGATTAACAGAGCAGTTAAGGTTTTATCAACTATTACCATCCAAAGAGCACCCTCTAGAAAGTAGCAGGTTTTTGTTTTAAGAGGCCTGGAATGGACCTTATTCAAAATGGTCTAGGACCCTAAACAGTATATAAAGTAAACTTATTTATGCTAAAAGGTATGAGAGCAACTTCAGATAATGCATCTGCAACCAAGGGAATGGCTGAACGGAGCTCATGAATCCATAAACATTGCTGATTACACTATTAACAAAAGCCGTCTCCTCTAGGAGGCAAAAAAAGTGCACCTTGCCACATGCGTGTCCAAGCTCAGAGTATCAGGAGCAACTCTAATCACCAAACCAGTTTGCAAACATGTCATGTATTTATATGACAAATGCAGAAGGGTTATAGGTGCCGTAATGCCTTTGTTTGTAAGGTGGAGATTCAAGATTTTTTTTTTTCTAGCTGTTCAAGTCCATTATCTTAAAAGCTAACCCTATTCACTTCTCACTTCTGGGAAAGGATTAACTATATGCAACATTTTAAAAGTAACAATTTATCTTTATCCTCCTATTTGCAATTGGTTTTATGTGTCGGTATGTAGTGTTGACTCTAAGACTGTCATGACAAAAATATTGCAATATATTTTTACAGAGGAACGAGGCACGCTTTTATTGAACTGTTCATTTGGAAATTCTAGGAAAATGGGGAAAATTTCAGAGGATATTTCTTGCCATGATATTGTTTTCAGACCACTCTGTTTAGGCTAATGCTTAAAAATAGAGTAGCACATTGAAAGCTGAAGGTCTTCTGTGATTATCCAACTTGTGTGTTGCCATGCTGAATGACATTAGTTACAGTGTCATGGGTCCAGGACAAGGTTCCACTTTTATTTATGGTGGTGGCTGCTGATCTGCCTTTCTCGCAGAGCTACAAAGGGCAAGGGGTGGAGCAGTGGTGGGGAGGGCAAAGTGATAGATTCACATTCCTAAATCGGCCATTTTGATGTAAGGACATTAGTAGCAAACTAAGGTGTATCGATCTGGCCTGTGGTGTCAGGATTAGCTGGGAGAACCAACAAGGCTGCCGTGGTAGTGGTTATACTTGCCTTGCAGCTATGGCCATTTCAAAGGTCAGGGTCCTGCACTGACTCGGCTCAGAGGAATTAGACAGAACATGCGGTCTCTGGGCTGATTACTTAACCAAAGACAAAATAATGAGTCCTAAGCAAATACTGACTAATTGAAAGGGCTGTAAATCCATTACATATTGGTCAGGGATAATCAGGAGTATTTAATCACTTTTATCTATTCAAGAGCACTGAAGCTGCAACAGCAAAGCCCTGAACCTTGCCATGTGGTTATTATTCTCATCATTATCAAAATTACTTCACAGCTGTTCTTTGCTACATCACCTCAGCTGGAGATTTACTAACCTGTAAAATGTTTTTAATTTGGAAGTCGAGTGAGTGTGAGGGGAGGGGTTTCTCGTTTTTAACCGAAGGTTGGTTTGGTTAGAGTAGCGAGTCAGCAAGGCGGGGGAGCCGCCGAGGGCAGCCAGGGGCTTTCTCCCAATTGGCTCACCTGCTTGGTTGCCTCCCTCTGTCTTCTCTCATTGTTGGCCTTTCTTGGTCACAAATAAAGACTTCAGCAGTTGCTTTCCAAGCAGACATCTACATGTGTTTTCAACTTCTCTGTCATTAAAACCAATGTCACAGAACAGCAGAACCTTAGAGAGGTAGGCTGCTCTGTTTACAAATGAGGAAACTGAGACCCGGAAAGGGAAACCAGTAGCTCGAAGTCAAGCTGAGACCAGGTCCCAAGCCTTTCAAGTCCCCAACTCTGTGATTTTCAACCACATTATGAAGACTTTGCTAAAATCATTGTCGCCTTGAACAGCTGCAGAGAAATCTCACCACCTCTGCCATCAATATGCTCAGAATCAAAGGGGGAAATACGGAGAAGCCAAGTACTGTTTTCTTTACTGGTTTTCAAAGCTTCCTTCTCCTCCAGCATTTCTGAGTAGAGAAGACTTTCTGCTCGGTTTCTGGGAGTTGAATCTCATGTGGAAGGGTGAGGAGCCCTGGCTGGACTTCTTGATTTGTCCCGCCAATGCCTCATCGACCACCTCCCTGTCCAGGACTGTGCCCACTGTGCATAGTGGCCCCTGGCTGAGAACCGTGGACAGCCAGTGATTCCTGGGCACTTGTGGCTCTAGTGTGCCACAAACCAACAGTAAGAGCTTATCTCCATCCCCAAAGTGCTTTCATCTAGTTAAATGTATGCAAGGCTTTGTGTGCAGAATTCTCTGTCCAACTAAAAATTTTAATGAATGCCTGTCTTTGAGGCAGAGAGAGGGCTCACTATAGCCTGAGCTGGGACAGTTAGGAAACATGCATTTCAAGTTCAGTGTTCCTCTGTACCTGCTGAACCTGAGTTAAGTCCATTAAGTTCTTTGAACCTTCCTTTTCCTCATTTTTCAAATGAGAAGAGCTCACTGCGGGATCTATAGGCCTCTTTCCCATGCTCCTATGTTTTGGTTCTGCTCAAGAACATTGATTGACTCAGAGCAATGCCTGACTTGTGGTCATCCTTTCCTCTCCTTCCCCCTTTCTTTTTACTTTTCACTCTGTGCTTTATTTTTCTCCTCCCCATGACCTTCATTCACAACATGCCTCTTTCATTATTTTATCCCTCTGGCTTTGTCTCCCATCTTTCTCTCTGCTCCCCTCGCTGCCTTTTCTGCACCTCCCTTTTGTCTTAAGGAAATTTTCCTCTGCTTCTCTTTGAAATTTTTTTCTCTCTTCATCCACACTGCACCTCCACTGAGGAGAAGAGGTTCAGTAACTTTGATGAGGATGGACCTGTAAAACTTTTACTTTCCAATCTTTAATGAGCTGAAAGATTTACTCAGCTGTAATTCTGAGCTCAGAAACCAAGAATAGAGACCCCTAACTAGCGACATGTTAATTTAGACTTCTTTTCTTACATGCACTAACAGGCATGAGGAAGTCCTTGGAAATAGAGATGCCCCAGTATATTTTTCTGTCACTTAATTAATTTCAGCTTTCAAAGTGAAATGTTGGCTCTATCTCACTGAAAATAGATGTAGTCTAAATTATTATTCCATGTAAATTTCCTTACAAGTGCATGATTCAATGTGCATTCCTCCATTTTTAGTCTCTTTAACATTATTTCAAACTGTTTTTTTCCCTCTTGTGCAGTATGACCTGTGCTTGTATTACAATGATCCCTGATGTACCCTTTTTTCTTTCTTTTTTAAAAACGAAGCTAATTGAATTATCTCATTATTTTAATTTGTTAAGCAAATGTATTTTGCATCTCAGGATGTGTTCTTAAAGAAGGGGGCTGCTAAGGCTTTGCCCCCTGAATGGGCCATTGGCCGATTTTGACATTCATGCATTCATTAACTAGCAGAACATAAAAGAACTCTGGTTGTATTTTTTTTTTTTTTCCAAACACCCAACCAGCATGGAGCAACTTTCTCCAATAAGCCACAGGGGTCTTTCTACATATGTTCTCAACTGCAAGCTATTGTCACCTATTCTGAATACCTCAAAAGGCCCAGCAGAAAAAAAACCTACCTCAACAAAGGCCAACTGTAGCAATTGTTAAGTCTTAGTCTCAATATGACAAAAATCATTAACCTTCAGTTTTCTTGAAAGAACAAGTTCCACTACAACTGTAACAGTTAAAACAATCTCTCAAATTCTTATGCACCACCAACTTTAGGAGACAAGGTAACAAACTTGCAGCTAACTGATTATATTGAGGAAAATATTTAAATTGAAAGTGACATTTAAGAAACCAAGCTATTTCATGAGTTGAAGAATTTCCATATTCAGAGTTACACACTTTGAATTTGCTTAATCCGAGACTAAATAATTACTAGTTTCTACCTACCTATTTCCACAATATCCTTTTAAGAAATCCCCTCTAAAAAATGCACAATAATTTTAAGGAAATAAATCCATATATATTTTTTGGAAATTCATTTAGCAAAAACCTTCTATATACTATTACCCTCTGCCATTGGTTGATGGTTCTGCCTGCTTCTTAGGCTAAGAAATCTAGTGAAGATCAAAGAAAGAATCTGTTGAAAATGCATGTGCTTCTGCTGGAAAGTACCCAATGGTAAAAAAAAAAAAAAAACTTAGGGAAATCCTAGGAAAGTATATTCTTTTTGCTAACACATTGAGATTATGATATCATAAAGTAAGCCTGCCATTACAACTGTTTTTATTTGACTTCAGAGATAAAGAAAGAAACAGCAACAATAATACCCTGGCTGACGGTTTATTCATAACCATGAAAAACTCCTCCACGCCAAGAAGCCTTTAGTGTGCTCAATTAGGCTCTCAGGCACCTCCACTTGCCCTCTTCAAGAGCTCCCCTCGTTGTGCTGCAAAGAATATATTTTACCATGGAATAAAAACAGGAAGTGCTCACACACAAAGACACCACTTGCTCATACCAGTTTTTGACTAAAGGTCTTCTTATTTGAAAACACAGGGATAAAGCTCACACTTAGGAGATGCAGGACTTCTTTGAAAGATACAGAATCAGAAGCAAATTTTAATTAAATGTGCAGCCTTCTTGAAACTGCAGGTTCAAAAATCTCTGTCCTTTACCCACAGCAGAGTTCTGTGTCCACTGTCCGGATCTCTAGGGGCAGGGGACGGGACAAAGCCTGCCTCTCAGGTGTTTACTCATTTCACTCCTTGCCTATTAGAACTTATTTTATGGGATTTTATAAAGGTCTGGGTTCAGTAATAAAAAATGTGTTTTAAAGTACTTTGTCCTACAGAGACAGTACACCCAAGTTATGAGTAAATACATACAGTTCCACGATATATTAGAGAAATATGTATCTC